AAACAGTAGAGTTTTATACAAACATAAATTTATGCACCTTTAAAGCTGTAACTCCAAAAGACACTTATTCAATTAAGCCAAACATCTTTTAAAAAGTTTTATCAAGGTATAAATGCAATCACAAAATAAACTATTGATTAAAAGACCCCAACAAAATTTACAGTACCTACAACAGAATTCAGATTCCTATAGTTAGTGCAAGTTTGTTTACAGTTAAACATATTGCTCTGTTTTAAGAATATTGATACAAATCCATAATTTACAGTATCTTTTTATATATAGCAAGGGGAAAAAAGTTTCAAACAAAATGTTCTTTAGGCATTTAGTATGCCAAGTATTTAAATGAATATTCTCACTATGACATAAGAATAATACTTTGACTGGTTAAGAGACAGATTTCATTCAGCCAAGGACCACCACAGAGCTTCCAGCAAACTGCAGATTAAAATCTGGCTAATAGTTCCATAAAATTAATACAACTGTAGCAGACTCAAAGTATCTCTAAATTATAACTATGATGATTCAGTTTATATGAATTGGCCTTTATGTACATGACTTGTTACAAATAAAATTACTAATTTAGAAACTAATTAACAACACTGGTCCAAATTTAGTTTTTATTTGCCCTGTACGTTCAAGAAAAGAATTATTACTAACATAATATAAAGTGCTTACTCTTTCACTGAAGCAAAACTTTCTCCTTAAAATTATCAACCGAAAAAACCCCATATAAATGCACAGAGATTTTAAACTAAGAAAATTTTTCTCTATAAATAACTATGGATCAAAATGCAAAGGCCACATTGCATATGCATATGAACACAAATACTTTAATTCAATTGGGATTTATGACTACTAAAAGAGTAGATATATACACAATTCCATCTCAAGGTAAACTCTGATGATGTTTCTAGTGACATTAAACAATCAATCCTCAACTATTGGAAAGAAAATACAAAATTTAACATGAAAAATATTTTTAAAGTGAAAACTGTAAATGAGAAAACAAACTCAGTATTAGTTACTCTTTTGAGCATGTACTGAGATCTAAAAGGTTCAGAGTCAAGAATTTTTTTCCTTTCTTCCCCATTTAAACAGAAAACATAAACTTGCTCTCTTTAGGAAGTTTGATCATTCACATTTTGTCTTAATAACTGCCTTCCAAGTTAAGAGGTAGCCATGCTTGTTAAATTCTGGCTGTTGCCAACTTTACACTTGATGTAGCCATACAAGTTGGCACCTTGCAGCACAACACCCATGATCACCACTGCCAACCATTTCATCTTGAAGGAGAAAAGAGCACTAAAGGCAAATATCACCCACAGCACTGGACATGTAATAAGCCCTAACCAAAAAATTCTGGATTCAGCATCTGAAATAGTTTTGCTGTCCTGAGAGGAAGCCTACCTGGACTCAAACACCCAGTGGCTCTTTCCATCTTCATCAATATGATTCCACCAACGTAGACCAACCATTAGTCTACCTGTGACATTCTTCACTGCCCAAAAGTCACAGGACAGTAACAAGATAATTGTCACCATACAACCAATAAAGCTGCTGCTGAACAAGTCACAGAGAAGATAGACTACTATTGCACTGACTCGAAAGAATAAATGGAAAAAGGATGCCACTGGATGTCTGATTTTGGATTTTTGTGGTCTACTAGTTGCCTCCTCTTCTGCATCAAACAGTGAAACATCTTCAGTGTCATCATTACTGTCCTGCTGCAACATAGCGGCCTTTTGCCAACCCCACTTCCGGCAAACCACCCCTATTGAACTTTTAAGGTGTTTCCTGGTGTTTTAGATTTTTCTTCTCTATTTTTGTAAGCATCCCTTTGTTGCTAGGTGTGGTCAGTCTTTGAGTCATAATACACCTATGTACAACAAAACAAAATTGCTGGGTCCTCAGTCCTTGCTATGTTTGAGCCTACTTTAACTGTCACTGTATCAATCCATCTTCTTAAAGTTTTCCTTTTATTCATGATTCCTGTGTTGTTGTTGTTGTTGTTGTTGCTGTTCTTGTTGCTAGTTACCATTGAGTTGAGTACAATTCATAACAACTTTCTGAACAACAGATTTGAACCCTTTCGTTGTTGTTGTTGTTGTTGCTGTTCTTGTTGCTAGTTAC